AAAGGGATCATTAAGAGTCAAATCAAATATCTATTTCTACAAATACCACAAGATAAATTACACCTTTATGACTGGTTTTTGCTATAAATTTATTCAAATCAGGAAGATTACCATACAAAAATAATTTTGGCACAGGTTGATTCTTGTCCTTTTTTGATTCATTCCCGATTTTTTTTTAAGTCCCTGAGCTAATCTTTTAGCAGACTTGAGTTTTTGCACCCCGTCTTCCCACACTACTTCTCCCAACATCTGTTTCCACATCTGGCCTCATCACTATACCCCCATCCACAAACCAGTGACCCTAAGAAAACAGTTGTGAAAAAAGACACAAAGGACACATTTCCGCCAACAAAATCTTGGTTTCCATTCTCCCCTTCACTTTAACTCTAGGTGGAAGTTTAACCCTGTGTAGCCTTTTTACCAGACTCTTCTCTGCTGTATCCATGGAGATGCTTGGACATAATAAAAACTTAGCAGAATCCCTGTCTCCAAAAGCCTCCCATAAAGCTCTTCTGATACAGAGAAGTTAGATGGGATCCATTTTGCACACTCTTATTTCTAAAATCGTGTATCACAGTGAGTGTTTTAAAGGCTCCAGAGCTTTACGCCTCAGATGTTCATCCAAACATTGAATGGCAAAGAAATCAACGTCTGTGTCAAACTTGTTGGCAAACAAGTGGTGTTTGCGTAACATCCAGTTCAAATCCCCTGCCCCAAAAACGCACACGGAGCGCACATGGATGCCACTGCAGGGTGGGTAGGGGGCGCCCTTGGAAACATCGCCTTCAAAGTAGTGCCATTTGACAAACCTTGCAAACGCGTGCATGTCAGATGTGTCGTATTTATCGTTTGAAGGGAGTGCGCCAGGGACGTCTGGAATCCTTTGAATAGTGGCCCACAGATATTCATCGGGGCTATAGGTGTCTTTTGCCCACTCCATAAACTTCTGAATTTTTTCATTTTCTAGTACATAACCCACGTAGTTCCTATTGACCACAAAATAGGCACTGCCAGAAAAAATGGGTGTTTCGAGAGGAGGACGTACTTTGTTTGCACCGGTGTTTGTAATCTTCCCATTAATAACTTCAAAGCGCCTTTTCCACCTTTCCTCTTTATAGGCTGGCATTTTTTCAGTTTCTAGGCTATTTTCACCCATTACTGATTTGAGCTTCCTGACAATCTCCAGGTTGGTTTTAATAGGGAAATCCATACCACAAAGATTTATCAAGTACTTCCAGTCTGTACTCATTTTGTAGAGATCCTTCATGCAGTTAAGGTCGGCCTGGACTCGGCTCCAGGAAGCATAGACCACAGTCTCCAGCTGGCTGGCCACAAAGACATTACTGAAGCAGGATGCAATACCCATCACTGCACGTAAAAAGGAATCATCTGACTTTTTGTCCACATGAATGCAATAGAAATTCTGAGGCATGTAGATGGCCCTCAGAAGCCTGTCAAGTAGTTCAATCTTGTGGTGAACTACTACAGAATATGCAATTGGAAACTCCGCCTCTTCTTGGCTAAGGGGTTCTACGATATATTTGCGCCTCTTGATGAAAGATGTACAATCGTTCGTCATGTTGATATAGTCGTGGGTTGTCCATCGAGGGCGCTTTTTCAATTTCATGGTTAGCATTTCGAGTTTTGCCTTTTGGATTTCATCTGTATCACCCTGTAACACTTTGGTACAGTTAACATTACTACTAGGATTTTCGTCAATCAGTTGCAAATGACCGATGTTTACAAACTCAGTCTTCTGATGAATTCTTAAAACACAGAAGATGACCAAGGAAAAAATGAGAACTGAGAAGTAGTATTTAGTAGGATATGAAAAAAGTCTACTCTGCAGTAACCTCCTAAGCATTTCAAAAAACAGTCAGGGCTTTTGCTTTGTAAATAGCAGTTTTCTATACTTTGGATCCCATTGATAGTCTCTCTTCCGTGTGTGGCCTTGAAACTTGTCAGTTTGCATTAATCAGAAGAATGACATCTTGAAATGGAGGAAAAGCACTGAAGAAAAAATAAACAAAGCAAAGCAATGAAATATGTAAATGCAAAATCTTTCACTGCATCTTCTCAAAATGCAACTATCCTCTTTGCTATGAGAGCAAATTCTCTAAAGTCAGATGTTTAAAACAAAGTGGGTCAGCAGGAGGAAAAGGTACAGTATTAGAGGAAACCCACAGTCTCTAGTATTCTTTAATCTGTTTTTTAGCATTGTTGTTGTTATTAAGTGCCATTGAGTAGGTTTCGCCTTGGTTCCAACTCATAACGACCCTGTATAGGATTTCCGAGGAATGGCGGATAGGTATGAACCACCAACCTTACAGTTAGAAGTCCAGTGTTATCTTACAGTGCCACACCAGGACTCCATTTTTTTAATATAAATAATAATATTTACTGAATTTATTGAAGAAAAGGATTTAGTTTGTTTCATAAGCAACAAGCTAGTTATAAGGATACATAAAAGTATAGATAATAATTATAGAATATGCTATAATAGAATTTTTACCTCTTATAAGTATGTACCCAAAACCCATTGCCACCGAGTCAATTTTGACTCATAGCGATTCTACAGAACAGAGTTGAATTGCCTCATAGTGTTTCCAAGGATGTAATCTGCATGGAAACAGACCATCACATTATCCTCCCATGGAGCAGCTGGTGGGTTCAAACTTCTAACCTTGCAGTTTGCAGCTGAGCACTTAATCATTGTACCATTAGGGATACTTGTTAGGTGGGTAGAAGTGTAAGGACAGTTGAAGACATAAGCTGCAGTGATTGAACTGTCCATTGTAAGGTTCTGATACTGCAGCAATTCTGAGAATTAGCACGCCTTGACTTGAAGTCATTATTAAATTGGGTTCTTCCTGATAATGTCAATTAATATCCATCACCTAACTTCAGCTGTCCTGAGGATCAGAAGATATCATATTCATTCTCCTCTAGGCTAATTTAGGATTAGGGAAATACTTTGGGAGAAATGCACATATAGTTGTGACTTCTAGACTCTTCACTTGAAGGACAGATCAAATGAATTTTCAAACCAGACTGAAAAGGCTCATTTGAAGTCACTTGGGGCAAAGATGAGTTTACCATACATAGAGTTCATTCCCATGCTAAGCACTACAGAAAGGTTTGTTGTTGTTAAGTACCACCAAGTCAGTTCAGACCATGGCGACCCTGTAATAAGGGTTTCTAAGGAGTGGCAGGTGGTTTTGAACCGTTGACTTTGTGATTAGTAGCCCATGGCTCATCCAACAGTGCCACACCAGGACTCCTACAGAAAGGTAAAAAACATATAATCCACAACATAGTGTCAATTTCCTGTATCCTGCATTGGTTACAGTAATTAAGGCTTGCAACAACAACAACAGAAAACACAATTATATGCAAATTGAAATTTGTTGACACAACTTTTGTTTATATTCAAATTCCAGGAACCCTGGAATTCAAATTCCAAGAGCTCTGATAGTGTAGTGGTTACTAATTGGGCTGCTAATCCAAAATTAGCAGTTCGAAACTAGCAGCTGTTCCATGGAAGAAAGATGAGGCTTTCTGCTCCCGTAAAGACTTACAGTCTCGGAACCCCTGTACAGGGTCTGTATGAGTCAGAACCGACTCCATGGCACATAACAACAACAACAACCCATTTTTACTAGATAAAATGCTTAAAAATATTCAAAGATTGCTTTGTTTTCAAAAATCAATTTTGTAAAAAATGAATAAATAAATAAATTTTATAATCTGGCAACTGCCTCTCTAACCAATAAATGCTATTTTTCTACAAAGGAAGTCAACTGCTTCTGTATTGATTGTTTTTCAGATTTTAAACTAGTTTTTAGTACCATAATTAACACTGGCACTTTTAAATGTTTCATTAAGCAAATAATTATGAATATAAACAATACAAGTAATAATAAATAATTGAACATTATTAGTACAGAAACATGATAATAAAAGCAGTGAAACTTTTTACCCGTTAAAATTATGCAAATGTCTGGGGTCTTGATTCCAGGTAACATCCTGTGTCCACTCAGAGCTTATGTTATGTGATCAAGTTTCTTAAATGTACTGGGCATTCAGCAAAGAGGTCCATTGAGGCTTTCTGAAAAATCTGTGAAATCAAAATGGAAATGTATACACATCTGTAAATATACACACACTCAGAATGTCCCAGAGTAAGCTTATCTGATATACTATTCCTCAAAAATAATGCCTAGTTCATTTTTTTCCCTCTCTTTTAAAAGTCCCTCCTTTCAAATCTTTCCTTTTTAATGCTGTGTTTGTGGATTGGCTAGAGGTTTGAAAACACCCTGAGACAGGTTAATTGGTTGTTTTTTGAAGGAAAACTCTTAGTAACATTTCTCAAAGAAAGGTTTGATGTAATCCAGAAATCTGACAGACTCTGAAGATGGTCAGCCCTCGCTAGCATATTAAAGCCAGTCTTCTACTTGGCACTGCTGTTTACCTTAGTGATTTGCTCAGCTACTGGGATAGCACTTCCCCCTCATTCTCTACTAGAAGACAAACACAGGGAGATGCTGCTAAAGATAAAAGCAATCAACAACAGAAAATATTGATGAATTGCAACCAATAAAACATCAGCACACTGAGCAAATTAAACAGTTTGAACAGAAATAAAATAGAAATTAATAATAAAAATAAAATAGAAAAAAGTCAAGGAAACCAAGGGCTGATTGAGGATAACAACAAAACTTTTAGTTAAAGTGACCAAGATAAAAGAGAGAAGACTCAGCATTACTACCAACCTTACAGAGAAAAAAAAAGAAAAAAAAGGTGATCATAATGTATGCCCCAAAACTAGATAATCTAAATAAAATGGACATATTTCTAGGAAGATACCAGTACAGACACTGATTCAGGAGGAAATAGAAAAGCTGAAGAGATCTACTTCCAACAAACAGGCCACAATTGCCTTCCTGGGTTAATTTTTCCAAAGATTTAAGCAACATCTATCTATTCTTTATTAACTTTTCTAAAAATTAGGATTCTGTGATGCAAGTAATGCCTTGATACCAAAACCAGACAAAGACAGCACTGAAAAACTACAGGCCAATATCCCTGGGACTCCTAATATATGTAGTACTGTAGAATCAGCACTGGACTACAAACCACAAGGTTGGTAGTTCAAACCCACCAGGAGCTTTTTGGAAAGGGTCGCTATGAGTTGGAACCGACTCCATGATACTTAACGACAATATCCCTTATAAACATACATGCAAAATTCCTCAACAAATTCTAGAAAACCAAATAAGCCACATATAGAAAAGTTTATACACAATGATGACTAAGTGGATCTGATTCCAGGAATGTAAAGTTGGTTTAAATTGCAGAAAAATCAATTAAATATACCATTTTAATAGAATAAAAGGGGGGTGGGCATAACATACTCATATCAATGTTGTTGCCGACTTAAAGCAACCCTGTATAGGGTTTCCATGGAACAGCTGGTGAGTTTGAACTGCCGATCTTGCGGTTCAAACCAACCTTGCAGTCCAACCTTTATTCTACAGTGCCACACCAGGGGCTCCAATCATCTCAACTGGTGCATACAAAACATCTGAATTACATTGCCTTTCATGATAATGCAAACTCTTTATCTAACAAAATTCAATAAAACTATATTTGTTGTTGTTAAGTGCCGTCGAGTCGGTTCCGACCCATAGCAACCCTGAACAGGGTTTTCGAGGCTGTAAATCCTTACAGGAGCAGAAAGCCTCATCTTTCTCCCACAAAGCAGCTGGTAGCTTCGAACTGCTGACCTTGCGGTTCACAGCCTGATTCGTAACCACTATGCTACCAGAGCTCCTATATTAGGAGCACAGAAAAACGAGAAAGATGAGTATGGGCTCAGGAAAGCCTGTGTGCATAGTTCAGGGTCCCATAACTAGTGAATGGAGATGGATTTTTTTTTTTTTTTTCAAAACTTTTTTTTTTGCTAAAGTTGTCTTTTTCTAATTGTATCCTACTATGAAGTATCCTTGACTTCAACTGCTCAGTGAGAAACAGTGAAATGGTATAAAGGGTAAAACCTAGTTCAGGATTGCTTTCCATGATAAATAGATGAGAAGATAAGGGTAAGAAAAGTACCCAAACCACTGATTATCAGATGTAGATTTCAACTCAGAATAAATAGGAAATATGAGAAGACCTAACAAAATAAGAGCTCTACCAACATTTCCATATACTAAAATCTATGAAGATCTGCTTAGCATATAGATGTATCTATATTTTAAATGAGCCAATTCTAAGATAAAATAAGGTATTCATACCAATGTTGTACATTTTCAAGTAATAATAAATAATTTAATTTTAAATTAAATTTTAATAAATAATTTAATTTTGAGAATCACTATGTGGAAGAAAAATGGACAGTCCTGGTGTGGTGTTGAGGATTAATGCGCTGGACTGCAAGGTTGGTTTGAACCGCAAAGTCGGTGGTTCAAGTTCACCTCAGAAACCCTATACAGGGTCAATATGAGTCGGAACTGACTCGATGGCACTAAACAATAGCAACAACATGTGGAAGAAAAACTTACAATGTCTTAAGAAATGAGATGCATACTGCTCAGGCTATATTTTCCTTAATTCTTTTTTCAACAATAAAAAAGGTAAAACATGAACTTGAGAAGAAGGGAATACTATATATTTAAATGAGTATAACCTAACAGATTCATAGCTTTAAGAAGTTAAACACACACACACACAAGACTATACACAGAGAATACATCACCTCTAAGATTTTCTGCTCAGCTTCCATACCTGAGTCTTCTGTGCAGTTAAGACAGGAAGGGGCTCTACACTGGGTAGTTTAAGGTGACAACTGACAGCTATACTGTC